TCGTTTGTGTACTTTATCAGGTAAACATGTGTAATTTGTTTTTTATTTTTTGTGCCAGGGATTGAACCCTCAGCCTCAGTGCACTAAGCTCTGCCATTGAGCTGTGTGCTAAACTCACAGGTCACTTCCACTGGATCTGGTCACAGTCAGCATCCAGGGGTGCAGCGCAACCCCTTGCCCTGTCACAGCTGTCAGAGTTACTGCCGTCCTGCCTGGCCCATCACTCTCTCCTCGCTTTCATGTGTGGTTTTGGCTGCAGTTATCCCCAGATGTCAACACCCCAGTGTAGATGGGCCTGTGTTCTGGACACTTTGCAGTCTAGTATTGCAATACCCTTCTGCTTTTGCCATTTTTGTTGAATTCATTCATGTTCATTCCACAGCTGGGTAACTCTGTAATCTGAGCACACAACAGTTTACCCATTTGACCATTGATGGACGCTTGGGTCTGTCTCATTTCTGGCTGTTTGGAGGAGTGTTGTAAGTGTCCTTGTGCTGAACTTGAGTTTTATTAGGTAAGGACTAAATGTGTCCTTTTGGTTGGTCGTCAGGTGCACACATTCCACCCAGCTGTGCTTAGCTAGAATGTTTATTTGATCTTAATTCCCCGGCGACACCTGCTCCTCTCCTGGCCTTGTGCTTGCCCCAGAAGGAGATGTGTCCATTATTGCTCTGCTGTGCACCAAGCCTGTAGCCACAGTGCTGTCCTGTGCATCCCAGAAGGCTTTGGAAAGTGTTTGACACTTTCATTAATGCTCTGTGCTTTTTGCAAAGTGGAATGTGTGATGAGACACAGCTGCCATCTAAATGTTTGTGCAACTCTTTCTAGTCTGGTAGAGCTGCCCTGGGGGCACAGATCTGGGTGAATGTGCCTTTGTTTCGTCTACTATCTTTCACAATTGCTATTTCCACTCAGGTTGGCCTTTTGTGGATCAGAGGAGATGTGCCTGGGGAGGAGGGTGGAATGCAGGGGCAGCTTTAGGGGTGAGGCTGGGTCTGCAGGCCTCCTCAGGGGAGCATCTTTGGAGTCCAGAGAGGAAGTGGTTCCTGCCCACCTGTGCAAGCTGGTCGTGCTTCCAGCCAGCAGGGAGTAGGGCCAGCTGACACTGTGGAGACATGTTCTGCATGGCTTCTCTGCGCTGAAGCTTTGTGCTTCTAGAATGAAGATACCAGAGAGAAAAGAGCTGGGTGCGGTGATGCACACCTCCAGTCCCAGCATTTAGGAGGCTGAGGCAGGAGGATGGCTGTGCATTCAAAAGCCCCTGGCTGCATAGTGATTGCAAGGCCAGCCTGAACTATACAGTGAAACCCTGGCTCAAAAGAAAAAAGGGAATAAATTTCTTCAGAAGTTTTATTAACGAAATCCAAGCGTAGTAACAGCCATGGAGTGCTGCTATAAGAAGCATGAGATTCTTTTGAGGGATGATGTTTCTCTGCATGGGGTTCCCAGTGGGTCTTTCCCAGATCCCCATTCGACTGGAACCTCTACCTGTACCAACCTTTTATCTGTGACTGCACAGACAGGCTGTGGCCAATTTGTCCTGTGGCCACCTGAGCTCAGCCTCACAAGTGGTGGAGGCTGCCATGCAGTTCAGCCTGCCATTGAGATATGGGTATACCTCGCTGGGTGGGGACACCCATGGGGCTTTGTGAGCCCAGAGGAGGCTGCTGAGCTGCTCTCTCAGAGGAGGCTTGTCACAGGGTGACCTCCATACTACAGGGACACAGGAAGAGAAGCCTGAGCGGTGTCAGTTTCTGGAGCCCTCCTGTGAGGTAGGGGAGCTCCAGAAGTCGAATCTGTGTGCTTCTCGAGGTCTTGATTGCAGCCTCGCTCTCCAGCCTGTGGCTGCTGCATTGGACAGCACAGGTGTGACACTGAGATGGGCAAAGATGCGGCATCTGCCATTGGGGGCGCATCTTGACCTGTGCCATTCAGTCCCTGCATGCTGGCCTGGCACTTACTTATTTTCCTTGGCAATATGTGATTATGGGCACCTTTTGTTTTTATATGTTTTTTGCAACAGGGTCTTGCTATATCATTCAGGTTGGCCTTGAACTCACTATGTAGTACAGGCTGGTCTCAGATTTACAGTGATCCTCCTGCCTCAGCCTCTCAAGTGCTGAGATTACAGGCATGAGTCACCTCGTCAACTTCCTTGGAAATACTTGAAAAATGCTATCGTCTTGTTTATGAAATAAATAACACTTTGTTTTACAAACTAAAAGGTCAGTCTGAGTACTGGCCCTCAGAGTTAATGAGGTTTGGCTGGACTTCAGCTGCCAGGCAAGCTTCACTTAGATGTTTATTGTATCTTACATTTTTGTGTTTGTAGTTTTTATACACAAATTCTGGGGAAAGTTGTAGTGTTTTTCCTTCTTCTGAGTTTGGGTAGATTTGGGGAGGAGTGGTCAGTGCTGAATCAGGCCAAGCTGGTGGACAGCTTTGCTTTCTAGAGACTTACAAGTTTTGTTATTTTTTGTTGCTTTAATATTCCAGGGCTGCTTTTATAAATTACTGGGTATAGGCTTTTCTTCTCCCTCAGGTTTAATCATTCTCAGTGGGCCTGACCTAATTTAATCAAGGTTATTTGTGAATGAGGGCCATAATGAAGAGCATGTTTTTGAGTAGGGAGGCAATTGCTCTTCCTCCCTAGCTTTTAATTAAAATCACCTCTGCTACCCAGCACACCTCACTTCCAGTCCCCCCTTGACAACCGAGGAAAGCAGCCCTGTTTCCCTGCAGCCCACCTTGGGAAACCCTGCTTCCCTTCTGTAACAGGGCAAGAGACCCCTGTGGTGGTGTTTCCCAAAACTTCCTGTGGGGTGTGGTGGGGAGGGCACCTGTCAGAGTGCCTGGCTGCTGTAGACCCTGCCTTGGACAACACCCTGTGTGGTGGAGATCAGGGGCTGGAGGGGAAGGAGACCGATGTTCCAGGCTGATGCTCAGGAGCCTGTGCCTGGCATCAAACCCAGGGGCTTCAGAACTAGGGTTCCAGCCCTTGCTGCCCCTTTGGGGTAGCTTTTCCCTCAGTCCACTTCCTGCCATTCTGAGCACCTCCCAGCACCCCATCTCCTATACCCTCCACCTCTCCTAGTGCTGTCTGGGGACGCCGGGTCCTGCCCTCTGCTGAGCCCTGAGATGTGCCAATGATGAAAGAAGCGTTAGCTCCCTACTGGGCACCCACCTATGATCCCAGCATTCAGGAAGCTGAGGCTGAAGATTGTCGAGAGTTTGGGGCTAAACCAGGCTATTTTTGTTTTTATTTTTAAGCTTTTCTTCTTCTTCTTCTTCTTCTTTTTTTTGAGGCAGGGTCTCACTATGCAGTTCAGGCTGGTCTTGAGCTCACTTTGTAGCTCAGGTTGGTCTCAAACTGCCTTGGGCTCCTGAGTGCTGGGATTACAGGTATGTGCCTCTACACCTGGCTTTTAAACTATCTTGAATCTGTTCCTATCAACCCCTTTCTACAACATGGCAGAAAATAACGCTTTTTTTTTAAACGGATATTTTTAGTTTTGGGATCATAGCAATCTTAAACAAAAAAGCCAGACATGTTTGTAATCCCAGCATTCTGAGAGGCTGAGGTGAGAGGATCACAAATACAAGCCCAGGTTGGGCAGTTTAGCAGGACCTTGTAAAAGGACTGGGGTATAATCCCATTTGAAGGCCCTGGGTTCCCTCTGTAGTACTGAACACACACCCAGGAAGTAGAATCCCCACGTGCCCTACACAGGCAAACCCTCCCTGCTGTCATTGACCCCACAGGGGGACATTTTGTTACCATGGATGAGCCTATAGTCGAAAGTAGGATGGCCCAAGTCACCATTCTTTGGGTGTAGACACAGTACATGGTATAATGAAGACGCCTTTTTGTATTGTAACTACTCTGAAAGGCCCGGTGGTCAGCTTCCTGTTTAAAATAACCAGCACTAATCACATAGTCCAGTAAAACCACCATTGTTACGTTAGAACTGGGCCCGAGGGTGCTGCTGTTGGAAGTGGAGCCCAGAGGTTACCCAGGAAAGCTGGGGGTCCCCGCTCTGCTGTTCTGCTCTGGGTGCTCAGCCACAGGGTGCTTTGTGACAGGGACCTGTCCTCAGCGCTGTTACAGAGCTTCTCAATGCCAGGCACTGGGCTGGGTGCTTCCTTGTCATTCTAGCATGGCCCGCACAGCAGCCCCATGATTGGCAGCTTCTGCTGGTTTATAGATGTTCAGCTCAGGATTAGCACTGTTGACCGCCATGCTCCTCCACATATCGTGCAGGTCCAGCATCGTTTTAGTCTGCGTCCTTTGTGTCATTGAGTCTCTAGGTTTCCAGAGTCCTTGAATAGATATGTTTGAATACTAGCTGTGTGCAGGAGGCTCTGTGAGTGCCTTGTACTGCTCCCGTGTGATAGTTGGTCTGTCAGTCTTCACCAATGCTAAATATTTGTGGGTCTGTTTAATCACTCGGCTTCACAAAGCTAGGTCTCACTGCTGCTAGTTTGTGGATGAGGGAGCTGAGAGATGGGAGGCTTAGGAATGTGCCTCCTACCTCAGCTGACAGGTTCGTGTTTGTGTCTTTCCAGAAATCAGGAGTGGTTTGCCTGCCTCCCCCTAGATGACCTACATCTGTGGTCCTGCAGACTTAGTCCTCCTTCCCCTCTGGGGCATGGGACAGGGACATGGGCAGCCACACACCAGCTGGAGCCTTGCTGCATGCAGGGCACAGAGACATAGTGGAGTGGTATGTCAGGGTCCCTGCACCTCACGGCAGAGAGCTGTGTCCAGCTGATGCTGTGACCGGGGCCACCTGTTTCAGGTGGATAAGCAGAGCTAGTTCTTTTTTAGTCTAATAAAACCACTGCTCTTTGCTATTTGATAGCAGCCCCAGTGGAGGATTTGTGCCCCAGCATAGCCTGGGGCCCGGCACTGCATTGGGGCAGGGCAAGGCTCACAGGTGGCACCCCGAGGCTGTGGTATCCAAGCTCAGACACATTTTAATTGGCATATTCTCTTGTAGGCTTTGGACGTGGACCGGATGGTTCTTTACAAAATGAAGAAATCGGTGAAAGCAATAAACATCTCTGGCCTGGGTGAGTACTATTCCTGCCCTGCAGTTTCTGTTAGTCTTGATGCTAGGACACTGATCACCACCTCCAGAAGTGGGTGGTGTTTGCCTGCTGCCTGAATTTGGCACTGCCTCCATCCCGTCTCCTGTCACACTGGCTGCTGAGGACACCAGACCGGTCCTGCCTCTGCACTTTGGTCTGTGCTGAGAACCACACCAGAGTTCCCTTTCCATTTCTCTCTGCTCTAGTTCTCGCCTTTCCTAGTTTGGGAAGAAAATGAGTAAATATGCAGTCATTACCAACTAGTAAATGTATGTGTAACATTTGTCAGTCTGTACTCCATCTAGACCTAGAAGTGTGCATCAGAAAAACTCATCACAGCTGCTGGCTGAAAGATGACAGGCTACATGGCTGTGGCAAGTCTGCCCTGCACCAATCCTGTGTATGATAGAAACTGTTAAGTTGATTGATGTGTGCTACACATGTGCTATTTAAAAAAAAAAAGATTTAAAAATTTTTAAGAATTATAAAATAATCCAGGTCATCGAAATAATCCAGGTGGGCAAATGATAAGTCTTTTTTTTTTTTTTTTTTTTTTGTCTTTTTTTGTTTTTATCGGTACTGGGGATCGAACTCACGACTGCCTGCTTGCAAGGCAGGCATTTATGCCGCTGAGCTAAATCCCCAGCCCCTTCAAATGATAAATCTTGATTCCAATCTGGAAGAAAAAAAAGAAAGTCAAGTACTCTATAGATTCACTGGGAAGCAAGATGACGGTGGCCCCGGGACACTGGTTGGGTTAGCAGCCTGCTCACAGGGCCAAGGGTGGCCCATGGTGTCCTCTGTACACCTTGGGGTCTCCCTGTATCCAGGGAGACTGGAGTAGGATGTCAAGGTGCATCTTGGTCGTGTTGAGGTCAGTGGGACCCAGACCCCACTCACAGTCATGAGGGCACAGAGTCAAGGCTCCTGGGCACCCTCCAGGTGGCCATTCTGAGGTTCCACGTGTCTAGCGCACTGCCTATCCACCTGACCACGGGAGTTTTCTGTTTTTGTGGTACTCATCTCTCATGACATGCCACATCTGAGTTATTACAGGGCCATGAGTCTGACTTTTTAAAAAAGCCAGATTCTTAGTCCTGAACTCTTTATTCCAAAATAAGCATCATCCTCCTCCAGTCACCTGAGGAAACTCGATACTTTTCCCGTGACGGTGCTGACACCGTTTGCACCATTTTGGGAGGTCTTTTTCTAGAACTGCTTTTCGGAGCACATTCTTTTGAATGTATTTAGTAGGAGAGTCTCGGGACAGATCCAATTGTCAGAAATAAGTCAGGCACATTCAGGAAGGGAGAAGGTGCTGGCTACCAGAGCTGGCTGGGTACATTGTTTGTTACTGCTGTGTGGACCTCCGTTTTACAGGGGGTCCCTGTTCTGATCAGAGCATTAAGATTGTTTGATGATCTGAGGCAGTGCTAGTCTGGGGAGAAGATTTTACATAGGATTCAAAAAAAAAGTGAGGCTGGTTTAGCATCTACTTCTTATCCTACCCCCTGTTTTTTCAAATCTCTCTGGCCTTGTTTTCTTTCAGCCTGGGGCTGCCCTGGCTTGTCATGGGATGGCCCCACCTGACCTGTGTCTGCTCCTGCCTGGCTGCCACCTCTTTGATAAACTCATGCTGACTGACGTCTCTGTCCTTGCACAGCCCCATCCTGGGCTCTAAATGCTGTCCGCTGCCCCAGTCACCTAGGTGGGACCTGCCTGTTCTTCTTCAACCTTCTTCTCCATGGGCTCACGCATGGTCCAGGGTCAGCCTTCCTGTCTCTCACCTGGGTTCCTTTCCTGTTGCTTCCATAATGGGTTCTCACACAGTGAGTGGTTTCAAGTGACAAATGTACCTTTCAGTTCTGCAGATGAGAATTGAGCTGTGGGTCTTGCAGGGCTAGATCAAGGCCTTGTCAGAGACCTTCCTACCAACTCTCTGGGAGAACCCATTTCTTTCCCTTCCCAGTTCAGGGCCTCCTGTGTCCTTGCGTCCCAGCCCCTTCCATCTCCAAGGCAGCGGCTGGTCAGTTTCTTTCTTGATTCCATCAGTGTGACTGCCTTCAGCTCGGGTCGCTGGGACAGAATAACAGACCTGGGGCTCAGACAACAGGAAGTTCCTTTATCACAGGTCTGGAGGGTAGGAAGGTCCACCTGGCTTGAACGAAGCTGCTTCCCTGCTGTGTTGAAGTTGGCTTACTGGGGTCTCTCCACGAGAGGACACCTGCCCTGTCACCAAGGTCCCATCTTGGACCTCATCTCAAGTGGCTCCTTCTCCAAATGACACCACACTGGGGTTGCACACTGCCGTGTGCGAATTCTCTGGGGTAATCTCCCCAGCAAGGGTTCACCTAAGTCCCTTTGCTGAAGAGCCATAGTCACAGTTTCCAGGGATTGGGACAGAAAGACCCGTGCGATGAAAACTTTTCTACCTATGGCACCTCCCTTGTGCACACTTGGAGTTTTCAGTGAATCACTTGACTTGTAGGATCCCGTAATAAAGGGACCCTAGAATATAGGCACCGTGCTAACACTTTCCATACTGCTTCCTGTGGTTCTCCTGGAGTTTTATATGTGTTGATCTTTGTTCCTCAGTGCATTCTAAGGCCTTGAGATTAAGGACCATTTTTCTAGGACACAGAATTGTAGGATGTAGTGACTTTTGTCATACAGAGCTCACAGAATCCAAGAAACCTGGAGTAAGAGCTAGTGGGCGTGACTCAGAAAGTCTGTGACATTAGGAAAATAATCTTTCTGAGCTTCGATTTCCTCATATGTGAAATGCGGTTATTAACACTAGTTCCTAGGATTGTTAGTAAGGATTGCCTGAGAAGAGGTGAACAAGTGGCGGGCGTGCATGTGATAGTGCTTGGGATTCTGTGTGTCTGTGGCAGCGCTGGTACTGAGCAGGCAGATGGCCTTAGGTACCCAGGAAATTCTCTGTCTTCCATTGTCATGTTTCTGCTGCAGGCTCCTGGGATACGAAAGGTAAGCCTGGGATATGACAGATTTAGAAATAAGCCATGCGTATTCAGTAAGACCCTGTATTCTCTGGGTGAGGACTTGTGTGGATTTCTGAAGGAAGGAGATTTGGGGTACCTTAGCACAGAGGTCAGCACCTGGCGAGCTACCTGTGATCTGAGAATGGTTTTTAGCATCTCACCTTGCACTTACACAGTGGCCTCAATGTTGCTTCTTATCTTGCAAAACCTTATTATTTACTGTCTGGGTTTTTAGGAAAGAGCTTGCCAATCCCTGGCATACAGCAGTGGTTCTGAAGCTTCAGGGTGTACCCAGTCCATTGGTGGCTCTTATGAAAACACAGTGACTGGACCACTCCCTCAAGGTCTGTGGTTCTGCAGGTCTGGGACAGCCTGAGTGATTGCTCATTCAGCAAGCGCCCAGGGTGTGGAGCTAGTCTCAGGAGGCCTCTGTCCTGCTTTTAGCACTGCATGGGGCCAGAACGGCATGGGTGTGTCCTGTGTGGACACTGAACAATAGTCTTCCTACATGATAGCAGGTGATTGTGTCTGTTGCCACTTGTTAAAAGGCTGACACTCTGCCACGCGTATTTTCTGGAAGGTCTCATGAACAGGTCCACAAAAGCGCTTACTATGATGAGTTGTTGAGAAACTGTTCCTTTAGCCTAAAGGACAACTCTCTGGCCCCTTTAAAAAAACCAGTTCATCTTTGTTTGAAACTCTAGTCTAAAATTTCCCCAACTGTCTCAGCCCAGCGGTGCTTTCTCCCACTAGGAAGCTGGAGCTGACTTTTTTCTTCTTGTGTCACGAGTCAGTGGTTAGAAAATTCATCTTGACCAAAAGGGAAGTAGCAAAAAAGACTTTCATTTTGGCTTCTCTAGAATTACTATATCTTTTTTTAAAAATTTTTAAGAGAATAAAACCCAACAAAACAGAATAGAGCCAAATGAAACAAAGCAGTGAAAGTGGTATTGAGCTTCAAAACAGGATAATAGGAAATCAGCAATGGTTACCATAATATGTGGTGCCATCTTCACAGGAGTTGTCCCTACCATCAGATACAGCAAAATCAAACAAAACAATGGAGTAAAACCAACCAAACCGTAACATTAAATAAAACAAAACAGTACTGCACATTGTTAGCTTCAAAATGGTTGCTTAGGTTACCAGATGCAGGAATAAAACAAAACAGTAAAATGGCACAAAATGTTGGATTTCAAAAACAACACAGAAGAAATTCCCCACAGTTGACAAAAGGCACACCGCCATCCTCCAGGTAGATGCCCAGACCACCAGCCCCAGGCCTGCAGAGTCAGCCAAACAGTACAGGCACCAAGCTCTTCTTGTCACCTCAGTTGATATCATCTCACCCTGAGTCCTCCAAATCAGTGGTGGTGATGGAGGTATGCTCTTCTGGTTTTTTAGCCTGTCACCAGCTGGCTCATTGGTTAGGCGTGGATTCTCTTTTGGCTGAGGCTCTTACCCATCAGCATAGCAGGGCTTGCTTCACGGTGAGGCGTGGTTTCTCTAGAATTACTGTATCTTGAAGACTTGGAGCATGTTCTTGATGAGAGTGACTGCTCGCTGCACCTTTAGTCTGAATAGCATAGTGAAATGCCACACTCTTTTTTTTTCTTAAGAGACAGGGTTTTACTATATTGCCCAGGCTGGAGTGCAGTGGCTATTCACAGGCACGATCCCACTACTGATCAGCACGGGAGTTTTGACCTGCTCTGTTTCCAACCTGGGGCCGGTTCACCCCTCCTCAGGCAACCTGGTGGTCCCCCACTCCCGGGAGGTCACCATATTGATGCCGAACTTAGTGTGGACACCCAATCGGCATAGTGCACTGCAGCCCAGAACTCCTGGACTCAAGCGATCCTCCCACCTCAGCCTCCCGAGTAGCTGGGACTACAGGCGCGCACCACCACGCCTGGCTAAATACCACACTCTTGAAATGAAAACTACAAGTACTGGGGCTGGGGATTTAGCTCAGCGGCA